GAGTGGTGACCGTTAGGTCGGCCCCGAAGCACACCAGAGCCTCCACCGCCTGTAACTTGTTTTGTCCGGCGGCGACCACCAGAGCCGTCACACCCGTCTCGCTGTGCTTGTGATTCATTAGGAAACTGTTGAGCGAAACAAAGTCCAGGAGTTTGTCGAAGGCCTGGTCAGTGCCCTCAACCCACGCGCCCTTCAGTATTAAATCAAACTCTTGTCTGAGTTGGGACTCAACTTCGGGAGTCCGGCCGGGAATCGACACCTCATCGGTTCCAGTCCTGGCGGTCGACGCCTGTATTTGACGTTTACTTCTATCCAATTTTTGTTTATAGCGAGCCATCGGAAGAGTCATATAATTAGTCGCTTTGAGGACGTCCTCCAAGAAATACTCGTCGACCGGGTGTTGACGGCCAGGGATTTCAATGACAGGACTCTCGCACTCAAAATAGTCCTCAAATTTCTTGATGTTAAAAGTGGCCGACATTAGTATGAGTTTAATATTCGCATTCAATTTAATGGTTTGTTTGAGAATTAAGAGCAAAAAATCGCTAAAACGGTCCCTTTCGTGGACCTCATCGATGATAATATGGGTGGCATTCCTCAAGAAGTCATCCCTATTGGACATCAATGTTCTCAATATCACACCATTCGTGCAAAACGTCAATAGCGTCTCATTTGACACTCTGTTTCATAACAATTAAAATTGTCAACAATTTTGATACATAACAAAAATCAATTCAATCGTTGCATTACTTGCTCTCGAGTCGGATCTGATAGCCAACAGTCCCACCGATCTGTTCATTACGTTCAACGCAAATACGTTCGGCGACACTAATGGCGGCCAAACGGCGCGGTTCACAGCAAACGATACGACACTCCCGTTGTTTGGCCGCACAGTCTTCGAGTATATACTGCGGCACTTGAGTAGTCTTCCCGCAACCCGTGTCGCCGCTAATGATCACAACCCTCTCCTTCTCAATGGCGGACAATAGTTCAGATCTGAACTCATAGATCGGCAGCTGTTGCCGGAAGTTTCGATACCCATCGCTTGTCGGGGCCACACGTCTGGGCACATGTGGCCTCACGTTTGATAGTCGACCCGTTCGGCAATACTGCTGACCACTAGTCTGACGGCCGGCGTTAGCATTGTATGGCAAACAATGGTTTTCTTTGAGAAATTGTCTCAAATTGATGACCAATTGCTGCGAATGCGGACTCAATTTGAGGATCTCTTTATTGTCGATACTTCTGTTGTCTTTCTTCCAGACAGTGATCCGTCTCTCATCACCGAAACTAAAAGACAATAATAATCATTATCTGCGAGACAGTCGAGTGGACACAACGACAACAAACCCATGGCTGCGAGTCTTGAGCGAGAATTGTATGCAATAGTTGTGAATATATTTGCGTTCAGTGTTTGTCAGACTCGACTCGAAGACAATCTCTGCGGCAATGAATGGCAGGAAATGAGTGGTTTAGTTGTGAGGAGACAATGGAAGCGCTGACTTACCGGTGCGGTCGTCGTCTCTGAGGAATTGGTCCAATCGGTCGGTGATATTGATCTTGAGGTCCTCTTTGATGCAAGCGATCTGTTGTGGTTGTCGTCTATTCATTGCCATTCAATAGGCATTCACTTTGACTGCAGTGTTAATAATGAGCGCTAATTGTGGTCACAATCAGTGAATCAATGAATGAACATATGATTTGACACTCACTTCAATGCACAGCCAATGCATAGCATATGGTCTGACGGTATGCGTGAATGTGTGCCCAAAACACCCATACGTTTGGCAATTGATTGGCAATATTCCCTCACTTCTCCTATGCTTTCAATGGTTAACAAATGTGATTAAAACAGTGGGTATTTCTCTAGCTTTGATAAAACTTTCCTATTTTTGTGTTATAAAACATTTAATTAATTTTAATAATAATAATTAAATGATTACAATATTGTAAGTAAACTTTGAAAATGTTATAATTGGTATCAAATAGTGATAGTGTCAGTAATTTAATAATAAATCAACAAATGTTAGATCATTGCTAACTTTTCAGTCATTTTTCATGAATGCATAGAAATGTTATAAAAATGATTGTTATAAATGACGACAAACCAGAATATGATTAAAATATTTAAATATTATTTAACACAATAATCCAATTAAATTACAAAATGCTTTATTAAGTATTTGGGACATCAATCAATTCCCTATAATAATAACAATGAGGACAAAATAGTATTACGATAGTTTTGTTACACAAAAAAATCAATTATTAATCATGGTAAGAATAGTATTAATATGTGCATGTTAGAGTGTGGTGGTGCAGTAATCTACGATGGACAAAGCGTCAGGTTTACCCTGATCGAATAGCCGCCAGTCTGGATCGTGTCTGTATGTATAATAGGTGTCGTCAGTCATGGCCTTTTGGGTCATTGTCTCTCTCATGGCCTGACAGATGAGGATTGGGTTCAGATTCTCTGTGGATTCTTTGATAAATCGGGCCAAACATACGGAAAGACGTGAGCGCCTATTTGTCCGGCGTTTACGTCGATAAGAGTGTCGGCTCTGTTGGCAATCAGGCGACCGAAGAGGAGAAGGAATTGTTGGATATTTATCACAACTGTTTCAACGACGACGACATTGACTGCCAATTGATTTGCGCGGTTTTGGATCACATCAATCGCAACAGTAGTCCCGACGGCGCGATTCTCGTGTTTCTTCCCGGACTCGACGATATACTGGCCGTTAAGGACATTATTCTCTCCGATTCCAAGAAATTTAATCCCAGAAACTATGAGATATTTATACTTCACTCCCAAATGCAATCTTCCGATCAAAAGCGTGTATTCAATCGATTGTCGAATAATATCCGCAAAATAATTCTGTCGACAAATATCGCCGAAACGAGTCTTACCATCGATGACGTGGTCTTTGTTATAGACTTAGGGAAAGTCAAAGAGAAGTCATTCGACTCATTGATGGGTTAGTCCTCGAGTCTTGTAATTTGTGTGAACTTTCTTTTGTTATATTTGATGACAATATAAGAGTTAAATATTTTGCTAATGAATCCAAGAATAATGTGTATATTTGTCGCCCTAATAGGTATTTCATCGCTTAAATCCGTTTGGATATCTCAGTCAAGTGTGAGACAACGGCGCGGACGTGCGGGTCGTACCCGACCGGGCGTTTGTTATCATTTATTTAGTAAACATCGGTACCAAAGTCTACAGCGATTTCAATTGCCAGAGATATTGCGAATACCGATCCATGAGGTGTGTCTACAGTCCAAACTACTGGTGCCCAACAACGAAATGTCTATACATGAGTTCCTGTCCGCTGCCATCGACCCGCCATCCATTGCCAGCGTTCGCGCGTCAGTACAACTGCTACGATCCATGAGGTGTGTCTACAGTCCAAACTACTGGTGCCCAACAACGAAATGTCTATACATGAGTTCCTGTCCGCTGCCATCGACCCGCCATCCATTGCCAGCGTTCGCGCGTCAGTACAACTGCTTAAGGTATGTTAGAGTGGGTTATTGTCACAAATGAATATTAATTCATTTTCACTAATTCTCTTCCATTATTTAAGACAATCGATGCTTTGGACTCAACTGAACAGTTGACACAACTCGGCGTCCGTTTACTGGATTTGCCGATTGAACCCAATTATGGAAAAATGCTTCTCTACTCGATATTATTGAGATGTGTTGAACCGGTGCTCACAATAGTGAGCGCATTCGCATACCGAGACCCCTGTCCGTACTCTTACTGTTATAATGTTAATGAAAACAATGTTTAAATAATATTTCACTTCTCTTTAGTTATGATACCGTCTGTTATGGAGAAACAAAAGTCGTTGAAAGCGATTAAGAAAATGTTTTGCGAAAGCAATTCATTCAGTGATCACATCATATATTTGAATGCCTTTAATCGTTGGCTGGAAATACAGTCGACTAACGATCGATACGCCTTTTGCAGACATAATCTCATTTCAAACACTACAATGACTTTAATCGATGGCATCCGACGCCAGATATTGGGACAGTTACAGAGCGCCGGCTTTATTAGACACGACAGCGACGATCACAACCGAAACGCTCACAAATGGGTGGCAATTAAGGCGGCCTTATGTGCCGGCGCTTACCCTAAACTCATACACTTTGACGAGAATTTGGGCCAATTCTGGTGTCAAAAGGATAAGATTCGGTTTCACGGCTCGTCTCAACTCAACTCCGACCCCAACACCGATAAGTCTGTATTCATTTATTATGTAAATTTTTTTAGTTATTCATTTGATTTGATAAATAGATTTGTGGGAAACCACTCGAAACTGCGAAAATTAATGCCAACGAATTGGTATATATACGAAGAGATGATACAAATGGGCCGCACATCCTATGCCAAGACAATGACCGCCGTTAGCACTGTAACAGTGGCTCTGTTCGCCGGCAAACCGGTGGCCGCTGATGGCCAACAACCCGTTACGGATCTCGACTCCCAATCGCACCTTCAGATCGATGATTGGATTCGCTTCGACTCCAACGCGCAGACCATTAAAATAGCCTCATATCTGAAGGAAGAGATTCACAATCTATTTGCCCGACAAATCGATTCGTTGTCGCGGGTCACGAGCCAGAGGTCACGTGATATCGACAACAGTGTCGTTGACAATGTCATACAAGTGCTGGAGAATGAAGAACTGGTCGCTGGTTTTGGAGTGTTGGACGGCACTGGGCTTAGACCAAGGGTTGGTCCCATTGGCCCTCAATTCGCCCATAAATATGATGTAATTATACTTTTATATTATAATTTACATACAAATACCGGTAATAATATTTATATTTATTTTGATGTCAGAGCCGTCCATACCATTCAAATCGTCAGTTTAGAAATCAAAAGTCGAAATTCAAAGCCAACCAAAGATTTTTCTAGAAATCGAATTTATTCATAATTTATTTTATATTTTTTTATATAAATATCGATACAAATAGCATTAATTGTATATACTTTAGGCTTAATTGCCATCTCATTAAACAAAATTATTAGAAAACCATTTATTTGAAAAGTGTATTAAATATCAAAAAAGTTGAGCAAAATTATAGTTTAAAGAACATAAATAAAGGAAATTAATTGAAAAATACAAATCAAAAAATATTATTTATAATAACAATGTGTGCAATAAATGAACAGCAAAATTGGAAAAAACTTAAGGCTCTGAAATAGATTTCATTAGATATTTGTCCATTAATTCGACCGCAAGTTTCATCCCATTCTCGTTTGAGAGCTTCAAGTGGTCCTTAATTAGTATCAACTCTTCGACTGTAATAATACCATAATATAAATGGCAAACAATAACGATATAAACGCTATAAAATGGTTTTACCCGACAATGCCTTCAAATTGTTTACAAAATTGGGATCCAATTTGTTGGTATCCAACAGACGATTGGCTTTCATGGCAAACAATTCCGACAGTAAACTATTGATTATTATGAGTTTACGGACTTCTTTCAACTGATTCCGATAGTAATCTTTTATTTGTCTCAGTCTTTGTCGAGTCTCCGCCAAAATCCTATCACACCCTTCACTTTCTTCGGTCTTTTCCATATCCTCTCCGGTCGACCACTTGTCTCTCATTTTCGACTAATCGTACGGTTTGTCCGCAATCTTCTTCGCTCTGTTGGCGCACTCGACGGCCACCCGATGTGTCTCTTGAGTACTTATTTTAAGCCAAAGCAATAATGATATACATTATTGTAATGATTAGCGTCTAATCGATTAGACTGTAAGAAGTCTAACACTAAAATAATGTGTTCATTAGTTTTGTATATCGTTTTTATAGCATTTGTTCAACAAATTCAAGTTTGAATTCTTTAAAATAATGAGTATTTTTGGATTTATTTGAGTCGATATCGACTCAATATATAAAATATTTAATCAAATAAATCTCATCCCTTATTAATACATTAATTTGTTTTGACGGTAACTGTTATTAGGAAATCATTGAAAGAGTAATGTATTTATCATTTGAATCATATTATGATCACAACTGGTATTCATCTCAATATAAACGTGTTTCACAATACAAATACCTAATTTAAATCGACTAATATTATACCGAATAATTTGTTCAGCTATTTGTCTTTATTATTCATACCTGTATAACATTTATGTGTAAAGTATGTCATAAACACTACCTAGGTGAACACTACTGTAAACTCCACTTTCAGTCATGTGGATTAGCTCACCGGTGCTGGCGTTGAAGTTTACCCATCTAGATTCTAGGATCTAGAATATTCCTACCTTTTATAAATAAACAAAATTATAGTATTTTTAAAAAACTCTTTATTTCAGAACAAATTATATTACAAAAAAACATGATAAGAATTTTAAAATAAATCAATTTTGTATAGAGTCTACAATTTTGTATACTATAGACATTTAAATACAATATGAGCATGGTCATATGGTCCCACCCCTGCCCTCCTCCCGTAAACTATGTAATTATGATGTGATTTGTGGGCAAATGATTAATGTATAGAGTCTACAATTTTGTATACTATAGACATTTAAATACAATATGAGCATGGTCATATGGTCCCACCCCTGCCCTCCTCCCGTAAACTATGTAATTATGATGTGATTTGTGGGCAAATGATTACTTATTTTTGGGGAAATACTTTGAGAACCAACTAATAGTCGTTAGTTGTTTACCATATAAGTTAATCTTAAGCCCTTTAAGAGTCAAAACTCCTAAATTTGAATCGTAAATGAAATACTTGGCGTTACGTGTGTCGGGATTACCGGAACCGATGGTTATGTTGAACTCCGGCGGATCCATCGGATCAATAACACCAAACACTTTAATGATGTCGACCATTGCCAACGGGCTATTCGGGTCCTCATCTTTGTAAGTAAGGTCGCCCTCAACGGTAATGGTTATGGTATTGTTGTGGTTGTCATCGTTTTTGGTGCTATTATAGGCGGTGACCACAATTGTGGCGCTCAGATGCGGCAGGTCTTTAGTGGGATCGTCGGGCATAGGGCTGATACCATCGTCGATATACAGAGTTCCCTCGGCTTTCCTGTCCTCTTGACTGAGCGCTGCTATCAATACAAAGTTTTGCTTCCGTGAGAGAGCCGTGTTATTGGACTCTAACTGAGTGGGGATCACATGACCGCCCCTTACGTGCAGATTAATGTTGGACATGACGGCCGACAAGTTCGCCGACTGACCAGATTTAGACGATATTCGCCGACCGCTGTAATAGTCGTACCTTTTTTTGGTGAAAATAATTAGTTATTATTTGTAATGTAATGTTTGATAAGTTTTTTTCAAATGAATGAATGTATTGAAAATGTATAATCAAATTTGAATACCAGATCCCTTTTGGAAAGTACGCGCCGACACTCTTGGCGTTGGGTTCGGTGACGGGAGTGACCATAAGTGCCGGACCCCACATATACTGCTTATCTATGCGATGGGTTTTGTTGTCGGCGGGAAACTCGTAGAATAGGGGCCGGACTACCGGTTCTCCCGTTTTGTACGCCCCGTAGAAGAGTGTGTAGAGATATGGCAACAATCGGTATCGGATTACTATTGAGCTCTTTATGAAGTCTAACTCTTTCTCGTTCCCGTCGCCGAACAGCTCTATGGGATCCGTAAGCTTTTGCGCGAAGTCCCGGTGAGATATCATGAATGGCTGAAGAGCTGCCAATTGGTACCACCGGATACACAGGTCATCGTCCGGTAATTCACCTTTTGGTATCAAAATAATGATAATACAATGTTTTAATTGACAAACACATTATACTATTTGAATGCAAGGATTGTTTTCTATGCATTGAAAGTTAGATATGGAGTACCTTTGAAACCACAGACAGGAAAGCCTGTGAGAGGAATGCCGTAGAGATTGAATTCGAGGGTCTGGAAGATGGTCTGTGCCATCATAGGCCACGTGGCGTTCATATTAGTGCCGATGTGTCCGCCGTAACGACCGCTTCCCATGAATGTCGACAAACTCATAATTAGCGGCCGTTTCTTTATCTTAGCGATCGTAGAACTGGTGTAGTATTTGGTGAACGCTTTCCTCATCTTCACATCAAATCAATTATGAGTTCATAAAACGTGTAATTTATGATCAAAAGATGTGTCAAACCTGTTCCATGTGTTGGTGTCCGTAGAGGTTGTGTTGAGACAAATGCGATAATTTATTTGGATATAAAAAGTCGAGACACGGTGTGTATCGATTGAGTTCAATACTGTTATATTCATTCCACTTGTGATTCGCCAGAAATGTGGCACAAGTTTTGGACACATTGGGCGTCAAATCGATTGGCGTGTTATAGTCGAGGAATATGCCATCGATTCCATCGAATTCATCGCTTATGCCATAGATTTTTGTCAATTCTGCTTCCAATAGATTGGCAGTACTCTTAGCGCCGACGTCCATATATATCGGGTACACAACCGTTAGATTATCTTTTTCGTCTTTAAACACATTTTACATAAACAAATGGTTTAAGATTTAGTCATAAATACTAACGAGTAATCAATAATTAAATGGATTAATGATTACCAGAATTCTTCCACCAGTCGAAGAACTGGCCCTCAAAAGGCTTGGAAGGATTGGCATCGTTTTGGAGTAGAAAGGATTGCCATTCGACCACTTTATCATCGAGTTTCCTATAGGGCACCTGTACTAACAGCGCTCGGATGCTGTGATCAGGCGCTATTTTATTTTGCTTGAATGTTTTGGACAGATCAATGGGCGCCTGCTCTAAGAGTTGACCGGAGAAGGCGGCGCTCCCGCAGTCGGACTCGAATGGTATGTCATTACCGATCATTTCTTCAATAGCTTTGGTTCCCTTTCCCTCTTCGGTTTCGGTGCGACACATATGAAAGCCCAGACCCCAGTACGGGGGCATCGCTGGCCGCCCGATCACATCCGATATCTGTTTGTAGACATCACTCGGTTCGGGACCCATAAAGAAGTGCTTGAAATTGAAATCATATGAAGATTCAAAATGGCTTTAAATGAGTAAATATTTGAATAATATTTATATTTAATTAGTAATTCATTATTTATGTTTAGTTGCGGTCAATGTGTGAAAATGGGGGGACGAGAGCGGAAGGGATACTATTTATGGAGTTTACAGAGTTAATATAATGTCAAGACATACAAACTTCAAGTGTCCGCCCATTGCTCTGAATGTAAGACTCGGTCGACTATTAGTGACTAATTCAATGGGAAACGTGTTCTCCAGAAGTACGCCATAAGNAGAGAGAGAGAGAGAGAGAGAGAGAGAGAGAGAGTTACCTTGCTTATTAAAGTTAACAATTATATTAGAGAAATGTATTAATCTAAATTACATGTGAAGATATGATTGTTCGCCATTCCGGTCCGCATTCAACAAAACCAAAAAGGATGCCAAACATGATTGCTGTGGCGCTGAGAAGAATAAAAACGATATCGATATCATGTGTTGTGAGAACGAAAAGTGCTGTTTTGATAAGAGAGCGGCTCCCGAGCAGATCCAATGTTTCTATGGACTGGTAGGTAGTGGTGACAAAAACAAGATGCCTCACTATACTGTCAAACAAGTGGACAAAGTGACAGCCACTCTGAAGCCTGCAATTGCATCGATGCCCAGATATTTACAGAAACCCGATCCCAAAGCGGATCCCAAGGACGGGCCCATCATTTTCCCTGAACTGGATCTCCAAATAACATATTTTAAAAACGAGTACTTTGTTATAGAAATTAAACCAACTAAAGGTAAACTAATGAATACAATTGTGGATCATGTGCTAAATGAGAATTTAATTTTCTCAAAATGGATATAAATTCATAGATAACGAGACAGAAGACTATCAAATACCGACCGGTTTGAAAAAGTTTGACAAAAATGAAACAATCCATTCGTCAAGTAAGCCAAGCGATGCTGAGATAACATTGGTCTCGACCACTAAAGCCAACTGCAAGGACTGCTTTATGCTAAGCGTAAAGCGCAGAAATGGCAGTCAAATCATATTCAATACGGGAGACTTCACACCATTCCTCTACAGCAGAGGACTTATTGAGATCACCACTCTTTTGCCCAATGAGTATATATACGGTTTGGGACAATCACCCTCGAGGAGCTTCAAACACAACATGTCCTATCCTGAAGTATGCCAATATCTCTACACATAAATAATGCGTTAAATGGTTTGTTATGAACGCAAAACTGTAGACTACAGG